GGGAAAGAGAAAGACAGACAGAGACAGACAGGGACTGCAAGGCAGAACTACCCACCTAAAATCTGCTTTGCTTCAGTTCAATTCTGCCTAAGGAATACGGTGCTGAGCGCTGTCATGAAATACTGCCCAGCAATATGCCAACTGACAGGAGTGGGAGCACGGAATTAAGAAGGTCAGCTGGCCTTCATGAGACTGGCCCATCACGCATGGCATGAAGCACCCTTCTGAAATGAAGGCTTGTACACAGGAGTGCACTGCTGGACCCCTGCCAGCCCAGCCATGTCCTAACATACGTGCCTTCTGGAAAGGACCCACTGAATGTGTCTACAGTCCCTACCACACATTTCTGAGCTGCTGAGGGAATGACGGCAAATTAACCTACAAAGGACTACACGTACATCCCACCACCAAGATTAAGCCTGGGCGTAACAGCCGATACTCTGTGAGGCATCACCATGTGTCTCTACCAGACCAGAAGTCAGGTCAGCTCTTGGAGTGGGATCTGAAGAAGCTCAAAGGGGCAGAAAAGGTGCTCCAGGCATGGGGCAGCTTTAGCAGTGAAGTCTCGCTTCGTACTGGCTGAAGAAATTCTCCTGCAGTCCTTGTCATGTATGCCGTACTGGAGGAGAGGACCTCGACGGGTGCAGGCATTGCCCAGATAATATGGCACATCCAAAATCCCTCTGAATATTCATATTTTATTATTCAAATCATGTAAAATTTGCACAGTACTCCAAAATACATCCCTGTTTGTTTAAGCTCGTAAATTAAGGGTTGATTTGCCCCAAGTACCTGTGTAACACTGTCTTTCCAGAAAGATGCTCCCTGTCTGGGCAGCCTGGGGCTTGAGAAGCACGGGCCTTGTGTCTCTAGTCTTCCCTCTGCCTGGCTTCCAGAGGTAGGAGAAATCAGGCCCTGGTCTACCTGTCCACCTTATCCTGCCTTCAGTCTCATGTGCCCAGTCCCAGGACAGCCGCATGGACAGGTGCATCCCAACATCCTGACCCTGCCATGCGATGCTTTCCTGGAGGGACAGCGCCATCCTTCAAGGCCAGCCCACATCTCTCCTTCGCTCTTCACTCCTGTCTGTACGGCCATGCCAGTTTAGGCTAACTGTCTTGTTTGCATTTTCATTACTGTTTCCATATGGCCCTCCCACCACCCAGTCCCCAGTGATGCCTGCTGCAGTGAGGGCTGGAATGCACGCACACTTAGAGATCCCCGCAGTGCACAGGCTCACCGTGATGTGGACAGATCTACTCTATTCACAGCTGGAGGAAATGGACCACCCTCACAGAATGAAGGACACTGCAGGTGACACCTAGTCCAAGGTCATCCTAACCCACTGGGAATGCGCGGCAGAGGACGAGGACAAGGCGTCCCATTTGGCCATCCACACACAAGTCACACTGAGGATTAGCTGAAAGCGAAGAGCTAAAAGCATGACTCCGGC